GAACAATTTGAAAAATTAAAAGGAAATGAAAAAAATATATCTATAGTGATTCATAACAGAGAAAAGCAAGATGCCGAAAAATTTTTTAAAGAAATTTTATCAGATGTTACTGAAGGAAAAAAATTGGTAATTAATCAACATCATCATCCTTTTGGTTATAATATAATTGTTACAGGATCTTGGAAAATATTAACCTTCCTGAATAAATGACTTTGTAGAAACGTATTGGAATATTTATAAAAGATAAACCAGTTGGGGACTTTGTTGATAATTGGAAATCAATTTATAGCAATTTCAAGAATAAAGATATAGAAGAAGTTGATATTACCTTGGGAATCCAAGAAATTTTATCAATAAAAGATGAAGAAGAATTGAAAACAATGCGTATGGCAGGAAAACTTAGTTCTGCAATTATGTATCGTGTAGTAAACCAAATTTCTAATATTGTTGATGAAGAAAAAAAAATCACTCATAAACAATTGTCAGATGATGTAGAAGCAATATTATATAATCGGAAAAAAGATAAATGGCTTTCAAATCAAAAAATATTCCAAGATGTGAACTTTGATTTAACTGAAATGTGTTACTCTCCAAATGTTCAAAGTGGTGGTTTATATGATTTTAAAATTTCATCTCCACCTGATAAAAGAGAATTACATGGTGATATTGTTTTATGTTCATTAGGTGTTCGTTATAAAGGATATTGTTCAAACATTGGCAGAACGATATTATTTGATCCTGTAAAGGTTAGTATAATTTTTATAAATAAGATACATGCTGATTCATGTATATTTAATTTGATTTTGATTTTTTTTAATTTTAGAAACAAGAAACAAATTATAAATTTTTATTAGAATTACAAAGTCTTATTATGGAGTGGTGTAGAGATGGAGTTAGATTTCGTGATGTGTACAATAAAGCACAAAATCACATAAAGACCAAACGACCTGAACTTTTAGAAAATTTTGTTAAAACTCTTGGTCATGGGATTGGCATAGAGTTTCATGAATCAGCATTTTTATTAAGTCCAAACAGTGATAAAGTCCTAAAGAATGGAATGGTTTTAAATCTATTTGTTGGGCTTCAAAATATAAAAAATCTTAAAGCAAAAGATGATCAAACGAAAAATTATTCATTGTGGATTATTGATACAATCAAAATTTCAAATGGTACATGCCATTACATGACAGATGGAAATAGAAAAAGTGACAGTACCACATTCTTTATTAATGATGAAGAAGAAGAGAATAAAAAAGATGATAAAAAAGGCAAAAAGCCAGCCAGTCGTCCTCAAATTACTGACCAAAACAGGCCTAGCACAAGGAATAGTGCGATACTTAAATCTAAATTTAGAAGCGGGGACAAAGGTGAAGATGATAGTGCCAAGCGAAAAGAGCATCAAGCTGAGCTGGGAAGACAAAAGCAAGTTGATGGCTTAGCTCGCTATGCTGAAGGGTTAGATCAAACTACAGATCAAAAAGAAGTAGTATTGAAAACATTTGAAAGCTATAGACGTGACACAGCAATCCCCAAAGAAGTAAATGAACTAAAGGTAAAATAATGATTTTATTATTAATAAATAATATTAAATATTAAATATCAAATAACTTTTTTTTTGGTTCATCCGTTTATAGATTTATGTTGATCAGCGAAATGAAACTGTCATTATCCCAATATTTGGTTATGCAGTTCCTTTTCATATTGCCACAATAAAAAATGTCCATAAATCAGAAGAGGGTGACTACACATATTTACGTGTAAACTTTTTGACACCGGGACAAGCTACTGGAAAAAAAGAAGATATGCCATTTGATGATCCAACTATCAGTTACATTCGTTCATTAACATTCAGAAGCACAGATGATTATATGGGTGAAGTATATAAAAAAATAGTTGACCTCAAGAAAAATTCTGCCAAAAAAGAAGCAGAACAAAAAGAAATGGCAGACTTAATTGTGCAAGATAAATTGGTAGAAGTTAAAGGGCGAAGACCAACTCATAGACTATCTGAGGTATTTGTAAGGCCAGAATTGGAAGGCAAAAAAGTAACTGGTGACTTGGATATTCATGAAAATGGCATTCGTTATACATCACGTCGTTCAAACCAGAAAATAGATGTGCTATTTAGCAATATTAAACATCTATTCTTTCAACCTTGTGACAATGAATTAATTGTAATATTGCACATACATTTAAACAATCCAATTATCTTTGGAAAGAAAAAGGCTAAAGATATTCAGTTTTTCCGTGAAGCATCTGACATTCAATTTGATGAAACTGGTAATCGTAAAAGGAGAACCAAATACGGTGATGAAGATGAGATTGGTGCAGAACAAGAGGAAAATAAAAGACGCTTTTTGTTGAATAAAGATTTTAAAAGTTTTGCCAATAAAATTGCAGAGTCCAGTGATGGGAAAGTGTATGTTGATGTTCCTTTTAGAGATATTGGTTTCTCTGGTGTCCCATTTAAAACCAATGTATTATTACAACCAACAACTGATTGTCTTGTTCATTTAGTGGATTTACCTTTTTTGATTATAACAATGGCTGACGTGGAAGTAGTAAATTTAGAAAGAATACAATATGGTTTAAAAAATTTCGATATGGTTTTAATTTTTAAAGATTACTCACGTCCACCAATACATATCAATACCATTCCAATGAGTCAATTAGAAGGTGTAAAAGAATGGTTAGATTCAATAGATATATTATTTTACGAAGGAACACTTAATTTAAACTGGGCACAAATAATGAGAAATATTAACAAAGATCCAGCAGGATTTTATAATAATGGTGGCTGGTCATTCTTGGATATGGATGAAAAGGTATATGCTTACATTGATGATATGACATTAAAGACAAAGATAAATTATAGTTATATTTATATTTATGTATTTTTATTTGTTTGCTTGTTTTGAAAGGATGGTGATTCTGATGCACCATCAGACTCTGCAAGTGAATTTGAGCCAACAGAGAGTGAGGAAGAGGATTTCGAAGTAAGTTAAATCATCATTATTATAGGATTGTGTTAAAAATGTTATTTGATTAACTGTTTTAATATTAATATTACAGAGTAGTAGCGATTATGAAGATGAAGCAGAAGAATCCGTTAATAGCGAGTCAGAAGGAGAAAGTGATGATGACGAATCTATAGTAGATTGGGATGAATCTGAAGAAAAAGGTTTGTACCTTTAATAATTCTGTTAAAAAAAAAGGTAATAAATAATGATGATGATTCATGACATTGTTGACATTATAGATGATGAAAGAAAACATGTCGGTGATGGTGTCAAACGTAGTAATTCAAGTGAAGTTCGTACAAATACAAACACAAATATAAATAAAAAAGTTCGTCGACGTTAATAGAGCACTTGACAAATGGTTAATGAGTTTTAAATAATAACTTTTTATCAAATTATTATTATCAATTGCTAATTTGTAATATTCTTAGTTTTATCGGTATATTTTATACATGTATATAATAATAATAAATATTATTTGAAAAAAGTTTACGTTTATTTTTCTGTATTACCATTTTAGGTGACCAGAAATCAAAACAAAATGCTAAATAAAATGTAATTTTTTAAGTCACTTGTAGTTAGTTCCTGATAAAAAATACCACGTTGAGTAAGCATTAATGAGATATTATTGCTATCACCATCGGAATAGATATGTTTTTCTAATTGTCTATTAATAATAATAATTTTTTTTAGTGGCAAGGGAAAGCCTTAACCGTCATTAAGGGTGTTGGTTGTCGTTATTCTTTTATTGATTACTTCAATTAAAATATTTTTCAGAACTGTTGAATCAGACCAATGAAGAATTAAGACATGACCATTATCCAAAATCCTACCCGATTCTCTGATTCTTCTCTATCTGATGCATTACGAATTTGCCAAGGATAGGGGAGAAACTCCATTTGATCATCTATTACTTCTAAACAAACGTTTTTGCAGATTTACCTTCCACAATTATTAAATTACAATTCGAATTGCCTTTTCCTGCGTTTACAACATCTTCCAACCTAATTACATCTACTTATTGTGATCTAAGATTGTTTATACATTTAAATATAAAGAAATCAGTTTTTAATCAAGTATTAAACATATTGTGTTGACATTTTTTTAGAAAAACTAGAGTGACAACGAGTGGCGATAACACCACCATCCTTATGATAAACACTTACTCATAACAGCATTTTTTCTTCTTTTTCGTATTGCGAATGACATTATCAGTCGTGGGACATGTCACAGAGAGTGTAATTGTAAATAAACAGTGGTACAGGAAATAAGACGTTGTAGAAGAGAGCTCATTATACATGAGCGATCGAACAGATCGAATGAGTATCTACCACGTCCATCTATCGGAAAGGTTTCTTTCTTTTGTTTGCTACGGTTTAACCTTTGATCAACTAACTCCAGAAATAATCAATCACTGATAATAAATAACTAAAAATAACGTACAATAATAAAAAAAAAAAATAATAATAAAAAATAAAAAATAAATTGTTTGTTTATGTAGCAAAACAAGAATCAAAAAGTTTATTATTCAAAACATTATTTATAATTTAGCTTTAAGAAATAAAATAAAAAGACGAATAATTAAAACAAATAATTCATAGTGGAGACTGAATTAGTCATTCATTGGTTCCTTCTATTAATTATTAGAATCTAATGCAATCAAATGTAAATAAAAAATATTGTCAGTAATAATTAATGGATAGTTCTAATTAATTAATAATGAAATTTTTATTCACCTTCAGCATTTAAGAGAAAAGAGCTAAAATCAAGATTATTTAATGAGCTATCATTACTTGTATAAATTTTCAAGATTTTTGATTTAGCAATCTCTTCATCTAATATTCTACTTGTATGGTATGCACCTGGATGTACTTTGTGTGCTTGTTGTAAATCACTACCACTACTAGTCGTATCATTATCATTATTATTTTTAATAATTTCATCACGTTTATTATCAGCAAATGCCCAAAGCTCTCTACTAGTTGGTCTTTTTGATGGATCCACATCCCAACACCTCTGCATCATTTGTGCATAATCTTCAGGC